CACCAAGTCAAGGGTTGAGATCCCCTTACCGGTCATCTTTAAAAAAAAAAAAAAAAGAAATACAGACTTTCTCTGTTTAGAAGCTTGAGCAATGAGAGGGCTCTGGCTTCTCCTGGCTCCCTGCCCCAGATGTGACCTGGTGCTGGCCTGGAACGAAGGGGCAGGTTCTCAACTCTGCCTGCCCCTTCTTCAGCCTCATCTGGCCACCACCTCTCACGAGCTTTAGCATCAAAACCATGATCAAGTCCATCTTTTGTTCCTCTGCTGCCTCTCCTGTGCCTCCCTGATTCCCTGCAGTGGCTTCCTCACACCCCTGGACTCAGCAAGTCCACAGAGGCTCTGCCATGTGAGGACGCAGTGAGAAGGTGGCTGTCTGCAAGCCAGGAAGAGAGCCCTCACCACACACCAAACCTGCTGGCACACTGATCTCGGACTTGCCAGCCTCCAGAACTGTGAGAAACACATACACAAAAAGTCCACAGCAGACCTCAACACTGACATTCATTCGTTCCCTCCATTCATCATTCATCCCCTCATTCATTCATTCCCTCCCTCCTTCCTTCTTTCATTCATTTCTTCTTTCCTTTATTCATTCCCTCCTTCACTCACGTAGGCAGCCGATGTGTACAATCCCTATTATATGCCAGGCACTTTTCTCAGCTCTGGAGACACAGTGGTAAACAAAGACCACCAGGTCTCACCCTCAGGGGTTCACAGTCCTCTGGGGAGAGAGACCCCCTCTGTATACATGAATGAGCACCAAGAGAGTGCTGGATGGTGACAAGGCTGTGAGAGGAGATGCTGGGGACATAGGGATATCAGAGTGATATGGACTGGGGACAGGGGACATTCTTGAGAGAGGCAGGTGGCATCTGAGCAGGGCCAAGTGAGGCGAGAAGCAGCAGCTATGGCTAAAGCTGGGGCACAGCTAGTGCAAAGGCCCTGAGGAGGGAACAGGCCTGGGGAATGAGGTGCATTCGAGGACCAGAGTGGAGGCTAGTGCGGTGGAATCAGGGAAAAGGAAGACAGAGGGAGGTGGAGGCTGAGGTGGGCAGGGGCTGGCCCCCCAGGGCTCACAGGCCCCAGGAGGGGTTTATGATGGAAGCCATAGAGACAGGAGGGTGGGTGGGGGTCTTCTGCTAGAGGAGTGCCCCTGCAGTTTTTAAAAACAAGGGTTCAAATAAATAAATAAATAACAAAGCAAAAACAGGAAAAGAAAAGAAAAGAAAAACAAGAGTTCAGGGTTCTGATGAGATTTGAGACTTCCTGATTGGGTCGAACTACTTATCCCGGAAGCCCGTAAAGGCTCCTCTGGCTGCTCTTGGGAGAGGATCAGGGTGCTGAGGTCCTGTGATGTGACCCCAGTACCCACACACACACCACCTGACAGCACACTGACCTATGCACAGTCCCCACCCGTCTGACCCTTCACGAGCTCTTCCCAGCATCCTGGCCACCTCCACCAGGAACCCTTCCAGGCACCTGCACAGGGCTGGCCCCTGCAAGGTGCCCACTGGTCCCCCTCACAGCACAGATTCCTCCAAAGGGAGCCAGACTCAAGTCAGTCAGACACTGGCTGGGCTCAGGTAATGTTCTCTTGTCCACCCCCCAGATCCCTTCCTGTCCCCTTTTAGTCTGACCCTTCACGAGCTCTTCCCAGCATCCTGGCCACCTCCACCAGGAACCCTTCCAGGCACCTGCACAGGTCTGGCCCCTGCAAGGTGCCCACTGGTCCCCCTCACAGCACAGATTCCTCCAAAGGGGGCCAGACTCAAGTCAGTCAGAAACTGGCTGGGCTCAGGTAATGTTCTCTTGTCCACCCCCCAGATCCCTTCCTGTCCCCTTTTACTCCCCACTATCTAAGTCCCTGTTCAGGGCTGGCTGTTTAGCTCAGTTGGTTGGGAACATGGTGCTGGTAACATCAAGGTCAAGGGTTTGGATCCCCATACCGGCCAGATGCCAAAAAAAAAAAAAAGTCCCTGGTCAGGGGTCCATCACCTTCTGGAATGTGAGCGCCCACGGGAAGTGGCATCTCCGTGTCAGCCAAGAAACCTAGAGCCCAGCAGGAGCTCAGTTAAGAGAGGCCGGGCCACTGTGTTCACACCCCTGAACCCCGAGCCAAGTGTACCTGCCCTTCCTAGCAGCCAGCTGCAGGAGCCATGGACTCTTTCATTCATTCCCCAAACAGTGAGCACCTACTGTGTGCCAGGCCTGCACTGGGCAGGACTCTCCTCCCCCCACTTCCTTTCCCTCTCTCTCTCTTCTCCCCCATATCCCCCTCCATCCTCCCCTTCCTCCATCTCCCCCTCACTCACTCACCCCAGCCACACCTGCCTCTTCACTGTCCCCTGAACATACCTGGCAAGTTCCCACCTCAGGGCCTTTGCACGGGCTGTGCCGGCTGCCTGAAACACTCTTCCCCCAGCATGCAGGCTCCTCCCCAGCTCATGGCTCAACTGTCACCTCACGCATGTGGCCATTCCTGGACCTCGTCCCTGCTTTACTTTTTTCTCCATGGCACTTATAACCTTCAAACGTCTTGGGCAATGTACTCACATCCCATCTTGTCCTGGGCCTGTTTCCTCTGCTCCAGGCAGACAGGGACTTGTGTCCGCTACACTCAGGCCCCAGAGAGATAGCAGCAGAGAAGACAGACCAAGGCCCCACCCTCCTGGAGCACAGTGGCCTTGCCACAGATATTCCCACAGGACAGTCTTGGAGGAAAGAGAGGCGTGCAGGGCTCTTAGGTCAGGCCCGGATTCTGCAGCCTGAGGGAGCAGCCTCCCCTGGCCACAGCCCCACATGAGCAGGGTCTCTTGGCAAGACCACTCTGCAGAGAAGCCAGGCACAGGGACGGAGGTGGAACAGAGGAGCAAGAATGAGGGACCCTGGCAGGTTCCTGCCCACTAGGTTCCTCTGGGGCCCAGCCCTGTTGCAGCTTATGAGCTCCTGGTAGATGAACATCTCCAATCGGAGAGTTCCCTGCTTAAGGGGAGAACTTAGTTTATTTATTTATTTATTCATTCTTTCATTCATTTTGGCAACTGGTCTGTATGGGGATCTGAACCTGTGACCTTGGTGTTACAAGGCTGTGCTCTAACCAACTGAGCTAAAAGGCCAGCCCTAGGGAAGAACTTTTTAAAATGTATATCAGATTAACGTCCCCATAAGAATAATCTTTAAAAACTCGGCACTATACGAAAGCAGGCGGATGAGAGAAGTTCCAGAAAGATGAAACCAAGAGCCCTCCTGTCCCTGTCTTGGCCCCACAGTTCCCTGACCTACTCCACAGCCGGGGGATCACCGTGACATCCTCCACATCTGACCAGGAGCCTGGCACATAGTAGGTGCTCAGTAAACAGAGGCCAGATTACTGCATTTGGGCCCCTGAGCCCAGCATCACTTTCCTCCTACAGATTCCTTCACTCATCCCCCAAACAGTGAGCACCTACTGTGTACAGGCTAACCAGATCTGGTGTGAGGTGTCAAATCAGGAGGGGTCCAGGGGAGAGAATACGGACGTTGATGGCAAAGGGTCACTGGGAGACTCTTGGGGAGATGGAAATGTTTTATATCTGGACTGTGGTGGTTAGCTGGGTGTGGACCTTTGGGGAAAAAACCCAACTGTACACTTAACTGTGCATTTTCTTATATGTAATTACACCTCAAATACAACCCACGCCCATACCAGGTAGCCGCCAATAAAACCCAAAAACCCCAAAAAACCCATGAAGGGTATAATGTTTCAGTTTTACCAGATGAAAAAAGTTTTGCAGACGGA